AAAAAAACACAAAAAACAAAAAAAAAACTGAGGGAATAATTTACACTGAGGGAATAATACAGGTACTTTTGGAAATAACAAAGCCACCATGAAGACAAATTTATCTCCAATTTTTTTTCATTCTCAGATGTGTTTGACTATTTCACTGATAAAGCATCACTTATTTTAATTTTTTTTTTTGTTGTCTCTATTTTGCAGCCTAATGTTCAGTAATATTAACTTGCTTCAGAGTAAAGTATCAAAAGTCATAATGGGGGGGCCTTGGCACTGAGTTTCTCTAGAGGTCAAATGTCACCCATATGGAATTTGTGAATTTAGGACAAAGTTTTTATATTGTTATTTTTTAGTAAGGCAATATAAAATGTATAGCTTCTTTCGAAGTTTGTTGAAGGTACTGAATAAACATTGGTAATTTCCAGTGCAAGTGTTATACAGACGTTGCTGCTTTTATTCCTTCACATAGTTTGAACATTCACAAGCTGACAACCTGAGAACCCTCTCCATTTGTTCTTCAGCCTGCTTCTTTTGATAATGCAATTAATATATCAGTATAGATGCTAATAAATACAGTTCCAAGACTGTGAGAGTCCTTTTTTTTGAGTTGGAGTCTCACTCTGTCACCCAGGCTGGAGTGCAGTGTATCGTTCATGACCACCACAGCCTCGACCTGCTGAACTCAAGCGATCCTTCCGCCTCAGCCTTCCAAGTAGAGAATCCTTTTAAATATTGAAAAACAGGCTGGACGCAGTGGCTCAAGCCTGTAATCACAGCACTTTGGGAGGCCGAGGTGAGAGGATTGCCTGAGTCCAGGAATTAGAGACCAGCCCGGGTAACTTGGTGAGACCTCGTCTCTACAATAAATCAAAAAATTAGCTGGGCATGGTGGCAAGTGCTTGTAGTTCCAGTACTTGGAAAGCTGAGATGGAAGGATTGCCTGAGTCCAGCAGGTCAAGGCTGAGGTGGCTGTGAGTGTACCACTGCACTCCAGCCTGGGCAACAGAGTGAGACATTGACTCCAAAAAAAAAATTGAAAAACAACGTAGTCATTTTGGCCTTAAGAACATTTTACTAGCCAACAACTTGCTGAAGAAACTAAATGAAAACTCATGCTAAATTAGAGTCATTTAGATGTTGAGAATATGAAGTGGTATATGTAAGGCATCCTCCCCTAGGCATCAAATCTAATGAATGACACTTCGGCACACTTCAGATGACAACACACATAGACATATTGAGAGAAATAAAGAAAATAATACTGCATAGTATTATTGACTTCAAAGGTATCACCCCTAAAGCCCCCAAAGTTACATGACTCTTCTCTTTCTTCAGGGACTTTCAAAGGACAACTCTTTCAGAGGACAAGAAGCACTGCTTTTTTTTTTTTTTTTTGAGTCAGGGTCTTATCCTGTGGCCCAGGCTGGAGTACAGTGCCATGATCACAGCTCATTGCAGCCTCAACCTCCTGGGCTTAAGAGATCCTTCTGCCTCAGCCTCCCAAGTAGCTGGGATTACAGGTGTGTACCGCCATGCCTGGCTATTTTTCTTTTTTTGGTAGCGATAGGATCTCACTATATTGACCAGGCTGATCTTGAACTCCTGGGCCTGAGTGATCCTCCCACCTTGGCCTCCTAAAGTGCTGGGATTACAGGTATGAGCCACTGTGCCCAGTTTACAATAGACTTTTTAAAGCTGATAACTTTCATCTCATACAAATATTCTAGACTTCTGCCCCCCCACTATTTTTAATTTTGCCTTAATTTACATATTTTTATATTGCGTGTTCCTTAACAACTTATTGTAGCTATAGTTATCATTGATCATTTTGACTATTAACTTTCATACTAGAGATTTGAAATGATTTTAATACCACTATTACAGTTATGACATTTCTGAATTTGATTATAAATTTATCTCCACTAGTGATTTCGTATTGTCATTTGGTTTCATGATAGTAATTAGCATCCTTATGCTTTTGGTTGAGGCAATTTCATAGTGTTTCTTGTAAGGCCAGTCTAGTGGTAATGAATTCCTTCTGCTTTTGCTTGTCTGGAAAAGACTTTATTTCACCTTCATTTCTAAAGGATAACTTTGCTGGGTATAGTATTCTTGTGTGATAGCATTTTCTCTCAGCACTTTGAATATATATCATCCCATGCTTTCCTGGCCAGCAAGGTTCCTGCTGAGAAATCTGCTGGTAGTGTAATGGAGATTCTCTTATATGTGACTTGATGCTTTTTTCTTTTAGAATTCTCTTCGTCTCCAACTTATTACAGTTTGATTATAATGTGGTTTTTTGGGTTGAATGTATTTGGGATTCTTTGAGCCTCGTGGATCTGGATATCCATATCTCTTTCAGGACTTGGGCAGTTTTCAGCTATTATTTCATTATATAAGCTTCTGTTCCTTTCTTCATCTGTTCTCACTCTGAAAATTCCATAAGGCTAATATTTGTTCACCTAATGGTGTACCATAGTTCTATAGGTTTTCTTCACTCCTTTTCATTATTTTTTCTATTTTCCCTGCTAAATGGGTTATTTCAGAAGACCTGTCTTCAAGTTCAGAAATTCTTTTTCTGCTTGATCTAGTTTGTTGTTGAAGCTTTCAGTTGTATTTTTTATTCCATTATTTGAATTCTTCAGCTCCAAGATTTCTGTTTGGGTCTTTAAAAAAAAAATCTATCTCTTTGTTGAATTTCTCATTCAGATCACAAATTATTTTGTTTATCTGTATTCGCTTATGCTTTGCTGAATAGCCTCAAGATCAGGATTTTGAATTTCTTTTCAAGACATTTGTACATTTCCATTTCTTTGGGGTCAGTTCCTAGAGAAGTATTGTGTTTCTTTGGTGGTGTCATATGTCCTTGCTTTTTCATATTTGTGTCCTTTGTTGATTTTTGCATATTGAGTGAAACAGTTGCCTTTTCCATTTCTATAGAGTTGCTTTTGTAGAGACTTTCTTTTTTTTTTTTGAGTTGGAGTCTCACTCGTTGCCCAGGCTGGAGCGCAGTGGCTTGCTCATGGCCACTGTAGCCTCGACCTGCTGGTCTTAAGACGATCCTTCTGCCTCGGGCTTCCAAGTAGCTGGAACTACAGACACATGCCACCACATCCAGTTAGTTTTTGTGATTTATTGTAGAGACAAGTTGTCACCAAGTTGCCCAGGCTGGTCTAGAACGCTTGGACTCAGGCAATCCTCTCGGCCCCTTTTTTTCCTTTTTCAGTAGGAGTTTCACTCTGTTGTCCAGACTGGAGTGCAGTGGCACACTCATGACCACTGCAGCCTCAACCCGCTAAGCTCAGGTAATCCTTCTGCCTCAGCCTTCCAGGTAGCTGGGACCACAGGCATGCGCCACCACACTTGGCTAATTTTTTTTTTTGAGTTGGAATCTCACTCTGTCACCCAGGCTGGAGTGCAGTGGCACACTCACGGCCACCGCAGCCTCGACCTCCTGGACTCAGGTGATCCTTCTGCCTCAGCCTTCCAGGTAGCGGAAAATACAGGCACGTGCCACCATGCCTGGCTAATTTTTTGATTTATTGTAGAGATGAGGTCTCGCCAAGTTGCCCAAGCTGGTCTCAAACCCGCAGGCTTAGACAATCCTTTCACCTTGGCCTCCCAAAGTGCTGGGATTATAGGCGTGGGCCACCATGCCTGGCCTAATTTTTTTAACTTATTGTAGAGATGAGGGCTCTCCAAGTTGCCCAGGCTGGTCTCGAACCCTTGGACTCAGGCAATCTTCTCACCCTGGCCTCTCAAAGTGCTGGAATTACAGGTGTGAGCCACCACACCCAGCCAGGAAAGACTTTCATTTGCATATGGGGGTCTAAGGTGGTGGTTGGGTGAGGTGCATTGGCTTTTGTTCTGGGTGGGCACCATATAGTCTCCATGTAGTTTCCTCAGCTGTAATCTTTGTCAATGATGCCTGCATGTGCCTTAGTGGCCTAGGCTGTAGGAGTTTGTGTGACTGGCATGCCATATCAGGCATGATTCCTCTACGGGCCCGGTGACAGGCAATTTGCATGCCAAGGGGAATGCAGGACTGGTCTACTGACTTGGGTTTAGTTTCCTCACTGGGCAAGCTTGCGTATTCTTTAGGGAGGCGGGTAGGGCACTTCATGAGCTTGGGTGCTAAGGCCATGACTGTTCCACTGGGCATGGGCTAGAGCCTAGGTTTGGGGCCAGGTTGGGGGCCCTGCAGCCACTGGGATGTGGACGATCAAGCATTTCCTAGGCAGCTTGATCCCAGTGGGCAGGGAGCTGTAGCACCTTGGCTGGGGGTGGTGATGCATCACTGTGTGTGAGCATGGTGAGGTGATAGCATAGCCTTGGGGATGGACAGATGCAGTGGCTACTGACCCCCCGGAGCAGGATGCTGTCCGTGGGTCCAGTTTGGAAATGTGCTGAGGCCACATTGTAACTTGGGTCACAAGGTGGACTCCGTCTGGGGGATAATGCAGCTGTGTGAACCCCAGACCGCTTTCTAAACTGGGCTCAGGGCCTGAGAGGACCACAGGTGTCTGTGGTGCTCGTGGGAACTGCTGGGGTCCTTCCCCAGTGCTTTCCTTTTCCCCACCGAGAAGCCCTCTTGGTTCTGAGCTGATCCTTACTGGAGTGATGGGGTGGCAGAGGCAGGGCGTTTCGTTCCCTTTTCTATGTGGCCATCGAGTCTCCGTGTTCCACAGGCTCTCCACCACTCCCCTGCCACACAAACTCCAGAACTTTCCTTCAGGCACTCTGGTTGAGATGTATTCCTTTGTTCATTCTTTTGGTCCTTTTTTGTGGGAGTAGGACTAGGCACCTCTAGTCAGCCAGCTTGCTGATGTTCCTTGGAGTGCCTTTTCTAGAACAATTGTCATCATATTTTCACAAAGGTCAAACAATAATGCAGTAACTGGGAATGATGAAATAAAAATCATTTCATCATGTGGCTTTCAGAAGACGAGTGTGTGAAAAGGCAACGAAATAAGTCATATTATGAGTCATTTGAAGAATTCACAAAATATGGTAGAACGCCAGCTTCTCTTTAATCACGGAATTTCAGTTTTTACAAATAACCAATTCCGGTAACTAAGGTTTTGAGGGGGAAACAGTTCTTGTACATGAGGAACTATTACATGCTCTATTTTCCTATAAATAACTCTATTGGCTGAATGAACAAACATTGTCACAGAAACAAAAAAATTTTTTTGAGCCACAGATCACTGCATTTATATTTACAAAAAAGCCATACACATGCATTTCTCCTTTATTAGGAGGACTTAAACAGATGTTTGGATATTAAGGCAGTGATGATTCTAACACATAATGAGATTCTAAGTTAAGGCTTTGTGTTTATTTTGAAACCCATATTCACAGGCAACTGTGACCAAAGCAAACTTTCATTTACTAGGTTGAGCTCATCTGCCCAGGACATGTGACTTATCTGTTACCAACACTTCTTTTGTATCAAATGTATGGGGGAGAAATTCATAACAAAACCATCAATTTACTTTAGGGAATCATTAGTCCTCTTCAGCAGCACAAGCATGTGCCACCGAACTTTTTTTTTTTTTGGTTAAACTTAGAGAACTCACGGGCAGCACCAATTCTATTCTTACTTGCCTGAAAGTTAGCCAATAATTAAGTATTCTGGATCTCCTAAAGACAGAAAACCTCAAAAGCATACTCTATCATGCTCCCATCTGAAAACAGATAATTTTTTTGAATTAAGAAAGGTAGATTTATTAAAGGAAAGATACATTGTGAAGGGCACACCCGGCAGAACAAACAAACAGCAAGAGTGCTGTCCGCTCTTCATTCTTAGTTACCGAAACAATAGGTCTTCATCTTGTTTTCTTTGAAGAAGTCTGATATTACTCTTTGAAAAAAATAAAGCAACGCAGAATACCGTATTTTAGATGAATCTATTCTGAAATTGCTAGCCTCAAGGCACAAATACTATCTCTGCCAGACCAATATATTTCCTTATTCAAGTTAGAGATGGTGGATGGAAAGAGACACATTAAAGTAAATGTAAATTGCACTCTTGCCCTGCTAAGCTTAGTACAAGTGCAAAGCATTGAAATCTAGAGGAGGGAATGTCCTTTTCTCTTTCCGTTTTTTTCCTTTTTTTTTAATGTTTAGAACAACGTAACTCAGATGCAGCCTGTGGAAGCACTTAAGGAAACGGCCCTAGGGCCCGACTCTGGCCTAGCAGGAGAGCAGAAAGAATGCTGATAGACCACACACCAGGATGAAGTCGGTGTTGGCTCTACACCCCGTGCTCCCAAGGTTGGATGATTGACTCTTATTAGCAGGATTACTCTTTACACAAAGTGCCTGCTGCTCTTTCTCTAGCCAGTAATCTTGCAGTAATAAACCTCTTGTGAGGTAAGCAATAGACACTAATGTGGGTGTATCAGCAACGTGGCACTGATGACATGAAAACTGCTTCAAAGACTAAAGACAGCTGTGGTTTCCCCCAGTGTCTTCAAATCAGAAAGGAGATGTCAGAGCTGGTGTAGCTGCAGGTAGCAGGAGTCTAAAACCATAAAAGCACTACTGTGTCAGTCTGAAGGTGGCGACATCAGATTTCTTTAGATATTACTATTGGGAAGCAGGAATTCTAACAGGCACTGTCAAAAATATTTTAGGTGCAATTTCAGTTAAGTATATTACACTTCCACTAAGATGTTTTAAAGATCTGAGAAGTCTGTATCCTCGTACCTGGTAAGCTTGGCTTCAGCTAAATGGCCATATAGGTTTTATAGGTGTGAAATACAATTTTTAAAAATGGAATGACTAGCTGTGAAAGAGCAAATGCAAGCAACACAAAACAATTATTTTTAGATCAACATGTAACACTTTATAATACACTCACATTTATACACAGACTTCATGTTTACAAGTACAAAGGCAGAGAACTGCACAGAATCTAAGCAACTGCATCACCTACATTCAACAGAATTAATACTGCTGTCCTGCTCCCCACTGGTCAATCCGAAAGGAGATAGTCAATGCCACCCACACTGGGACGCCTCTGTCAGAAGTTGGAGACTGCATGTGGTTCGGCACACGTCTGGGTTTCCACAGAGCTGAACTGAGACTCCATCGTGTTCCAGGCCAGATCAGCCAGAAGAAAGTCGTCCATTGCTGTTTGCGTTTCATTGCTGGTGAAAAACAAGCTCCCCAGGGTTTCAAATCCAGAACTCATGGTCTGTGTCTCTGTACTGTTCAGCTGGACCTTGCTTTCTAGAGCAGGTATGTTTTTAGCAGTGGAGATTCCTTCAGTCTGGGTCTCAGTGTCAGATGAGTCAGTGCTCATGGAAAAGCTGGAGTGTTTCAGAATGCTTCCCAGAGGCAGGTGGGGGCTACTGTCTAAGAAGAAGTTTAAGTCTGTCTGTGTCTGTGTGTCAAACATCTCAAGGCCTAAGAAGTGAGAATTTCCTCTGCACCCGTAGGACTGAGCAGAGGTGTCTGCGAGTAAGAAGTCAGTTTGGGTCTCTATGTCCAGTGATTCCAAGACTGGCTCAGTGTTCATGGTGCTGAGTTCACTCTCTTCAGTTTGAGTCTGGATATTTGAGGCTGAAAAGAACTCTTCTATATCAAAATCAATTCCGGGATTCTGGGTCTGGCCAGATGATAGCTGGGTGTCAGGTCCAGGATTCGTGTCAGACAAAAGACTACGATTATCCAGTGTCTGACCAGGCAGATTACTTGACAAGATGTTTTCTAAATCACTTAATAAATCTATGGTTTGGGTCTGATTATCTGTCATGTTCTGTGAAGGAAGTATACTGTTCTGTGCACTGAAGTTAATAATTGGTGCAGATTTCCCGAGATCGTCATGTAAAGTCTTAGGGTTATTCTGAGGTAACAAACCATGTGCTACTGTGTCTGCTACTAAACTGCTGCCTATAATATTGTCTGTGGCAACACTGTATGATGAATGGACACTCTCAAAAATGTCTCGGCACATTCCAGCTTGGTCCATCTGCACGTGGTCACCTGCTGGACTCTGCATCCTGCTAGTCTGGGTTTCTCTGGAAATCCCACCTGACTGAAAACAAGCGTCTGCAAACACATCAGTCTGAGCAGCTATAGATGAAGTTACCTTAGAGTTGGGCAGAAATGTCTGTGTGTGAACACTGATGGGAAGGGACACTTGAGAATCAAACGACAAGTCAGTTTGAGAACAAGACGACACACAGGAATCCGCGCCAGCCCACTGTGAAGAAGGAACACAGTGCTGTGAGGCATAAGACAGATCAGTCTGCACGTTGATTGAAGAAATGCTGTTCTTCTGACACGTGGTCCCTAGTTCCTGTAAGGGATTAGAGGGGCTTTTACCCAAGTTCACTTGAACACCTGTCCTAACGGGCTCAACAGCAACGGGGCTCACGATTTTGGAAAGTGGCAGGCTCTCCTTTGGAGCAGAAGCCTCAGAATCCAGGCCCAGGATCAGGGTTCCCACTGACAGGGGAAGCAAGTGCACAGCCCCTGCAGCCGAGCCTTGGTCCACGCCTAACACCACGGGCTGGGCCAAGGAGTCAGCTGTAGGCACAAACACAGGCACAGGGGAAAACTGCATCACGGGCAGTTTCACCAAAGCCACTTTGGGCTTGGGTAAAAGCAACTTCTGAGGATGTCTTGGAGGTGTTGTCAGCGTCTGCTTTCTGGCATTAGAGGCACAAGAGTCTTCTAAAGACGCTACCAGCTTGATTTTGGAAGCTTCCAGCTCTTGAGTGTCTGATCTAGGGATGGGTTGGTTGCTCAGGGACTCAATGGTCTTATTGGACATCTTCTGGTTTTGCAGGCAGTTTTCCATTTTCCTTTTCTTACTAGGTGGATCCCTGAAAACAAAGACAGAGCAAAAAGAAAAATACTCTTAAAATGCAGTTTGCTTCAACCGTGACACTGTAGCTTCACTTACTTAAAAAAGCCACTTTCCACACCTACAGCAGAGATCAGATTCAACCCAGAGAAGACCGATGCCTTCTTCTGCAACTCAGAAAATGGGTCAACTCAGGGAATGGGAGGTGGGCCTTCAGAAACATGCCAATAGGGAAATAGGAGGCATAACTTTTGGGATGAAGCTCTAAGTACTAGTACTCAACTTAGATCTTTATGCAGAAGGAAGCTAAAAGATCTATATAATGCACATTTTATCATTTCATTTTTTTTTCAGTTGGGTCTCATTCTGTTGCCCTGTCTGGTGTGCAGTGGCTTGATAAACGCTCACCTCAGCCTTGACCTCCTGGACTCAGGTGAGCCTTCTGCTGTAGTCTCTTGAGTAGCTGGAACTATAGGGACATGCTACCACACCTGTCTAAATTTTTTGTCATTTTTGTCTAGACAAAGTCTCGTTATGTTGCCCAAGCTGGTTTTGAATTCCTGGGCTCAAGCAATCCTCCCACCTTGGCCTCAACATTGCTGAGATTACAGGCATGAGCCACCACACTCAGCCAGTATTTCTACAGCAAGAAGCTATTATACTAAATATAAATTTGTCCTTTAAAATGAAGTATGGTTTCAGTTACACTTTAGCAATCGGGTATCCTAACAGAAAATTCTAGAAGTCAAGAATTTCAAATGGAACTAATAAGGGACTCTCAAAGAGGGTTGGCAAAAAAAGAGGAGGAACACTTGGGTTAAGATTTCAGGCCTGGACGTGGGTCCTTTGCCAGTCCTGCTGCCGTTTCGAAAAGCTCCCTTCCTCCTTGTCACACATTTTCTCCCTGCTCTCCCAGCTCTCCAGGATGTTCCAGCTGAAACTCTTCCCACAGCTCGTGAAACTTGTACCGCATGCCTTGCCCTTCACCTGTGCTCTGCAGGGATCTCATGGCCAGTTCGGTAGATGTGGGACTGCAGCGCTGTTCTGCTGGCATAGGGACAGCCACACGTGCACTGGAAGGTCTTGCCGCAGTCCTCCGCGTGTCTTTTCAAGTCCCACTCCGTGCCATAGGAATTGCTGCACTTGCTACACTTGTGTTTCTTCTCAGCATGCATTTTCATAAAGTGCTGGGAAAAACACAGGGACTAGGATGAGAAACAGCAACTGCTCAAAACACTTCAAATGCATCATCAGACCCAAATGAACAGTAATCATACAAATATAGAACACAGCAGTCAGGTCGGGCATGGTGGCTCACACAGCACTTTGGGAGGTGGAGGTGAGAAGACTGCCTGAGCTTAGGAGTTCAAGTCCAGCCTGGGCAACACGGCGAGACCTCGTCTCTACAATAAATCAAAAATTAAGTCGGGCGTGGTGGCACATGCCCATAGTTCCAGCTATTTGGAAGGCTGAGGCGGGAGGGATTGCAGGTTGAGGCTGCAGTGCCATAAGTGTGCCACCGCACTCCAGCCTGGGCGACAGAGTGAGATTCCAATTCAAAAAACAAAAACAAAAAACAAAGAACACAGCAGTCCAAGTTAAAAGAACTTAAAGGCAAATGGCAATTCATGATATGCCCCTGCTTCTCACTCCTGCTTGGTGAAAAGTGAAGAGACTGTTGTGGGAACGATTTGGGGCACCGAGCACTTAGATTCCAATCTACCAGTAGCAGTCCCGGGGGAAACACACACACACACACACACACACACACACCTCTTCTGTCCAGTCTTGCCTGTTACTGGGCCCCTCTCTCATCTTAAGATAGCAGCTTTCAAGCCTCTTCTTTTTTGGATGCTGTAGGCTGCATTCTCTGGGAGGACAGTTCCTTTGTGCTCTGTGCTCTGCCCTGGAGGCACACAGCATTAGTCAAGGGCCTGAGAGTGCACGTTTTCTCATTTTTAAAGAATATTTTTAAAAAATTTTAAAAATAGAGAAAGGGCCTTACTGTGTTGCCTAGGCTGGTCTCGAAATTGTGGCCTTAAGTGATCTGCCTGCCTCGACCTCCCAAAGTGCTGAGATGACAAGTGTGAGCCACTGTGCCTGCTGACGTTTTCTCACTCTTTGCTGAAATAGTCTACTTCTTTGTCTCTAGACCCACATCCAGACAACCCTGCTCGAGAACAAGCCACCTGCCTTCACTGCGTTCATGCCTCACCACTGGGAGATGCTGGGCATGTGCCCACCCAAGCAGCTTCCGGCAGTACTCTGTAGTTATGCTCGCTAAGTCATTAGAATGCACACTAGGTTTAATCATCTGCATGTCTTCCTCAGAGAAGTATACTTAAGACAAGTAAAATACCTGTTTTACGAGAGAAAATTGAGAAAATGGTCTGTCAGGGCCTCTAGGACATCCTTCAATTGGACAACAGTAGAATTTCGGTATGGTTTTCAAATCTTTTCTTATTGTTGGATTTACTATGCCATCCTGCAAAAGAAAAATTACTTTCAATAATTATTTTCAAAAAGCCACCAGCAGAACAGGCTGGAATGGAAACAAGGAATGACTGAAATGGGTACATTTTATGAAATACTTTTATTTTAACTGTAGCTCTTCCATCTACTCTTATCAGGGAGAGAAAAGAACATGAGTGTGTCTGAGGAGATGAAACGAAATGTGGGAGAATGGTAAGCCAGACTCTGAGATCCTCCATTCACTTGACTATTCCTGTCCTCCTGGTCAATTCACATTCCAGGGTCACAGCCCCTTCCCTGTTTCTAAGCGCTCAGACGCTCCACAGAACTGCTGAGCGGATCATGGCAAGATTCACGCTCACTTCTAACACATCCCGGGCGATGCTGGGTCCTCTCAGCACCCCTTTCAAAGTGCCTCACATGCTCCCATGCTACGGGTTTTCGTCTGATGCCTTTTACTAGCCCCGTCTTTTTCCTTTCTTAATGTTCCTTAGTTCAAGTCCTCCTTACTCTGTTTGGACTTTGTCGTTAGCCTCTTAATTGTTCAACTAAAACTTGTGGCTTTATACTGAGTCTGTTCAAGTGCCCATCTAAGTCAAAACTGTATCATGCCTGGGGAGGAGAACACTAAAGACAGTCAAAGTGGACATCAATAACCCTCCTGCCATGGCAACAACCATGTGAGCCACTGTCCATGCTTCTACATTTTTTTTCTTCTTCTTTTTTGAGTCAAGGTCTCACTCTGTTGCCCAGGTTGGAGTGCAGTGGCATGATCACGGCTCACTGCAACCTCGACCTCCTGGGCTCAGGCAATCCTCTTACCTCAGCTTCCCAAGTAGCTGAAACTACAAGCACATGCCACCATACCAGCTAATTTTTTGATTTTTTTGCAGAGACAGGGTCTCGCTATATTGCCTAGGCTAGTCTCAAACTCCTGGGCTCAAGTGATCCTCCCAAAGTGCTGATACAGGTGTGAGCCACTGTGCTCAGCCCATGCTTCTGCTTTCTGAGGCCAACTCCTCAGCTCTCCCCAGCACAGCAGTCCACCTCAGTTTTGAGGCCTTCCCAATTTTGACCTGTGACAATAAGCTCAAGGGTAGGTTGGTCAAGATGTGAATAGGGGAGATAAGAAAAGGCAGCGGCACAATAAAATAGAAACGTTCTATAAACATTCAAGAATTAACATTTACCAGACTTTTTTTTTTTTTTTTTTTATTAAGTCAGTGACTCACTCTATTTCCCAGACTGGAGTGCAGTGGCCAATCTTGGCTCACTGCAATGTCGACCTTCTGGGCTCAGGTGATCCTTCTGCCTCAGCCTCCCAAGCAGCTGGGACTGTTTGTGCCACCAGGCCCAGCTAATTTTTTTATTTTTGTAGAGACAAGGTCTTGCTATGTTGCCCAGACTGGTCTTGAACTCCTGGGCTCAATCAATTGCTTAAGTCCAGGAGATCGAGACCAGTCTGAGCAACATAGTGAGACCTTGTCTCTACTGTAAAAACAAAAACAAAATGAAAAACAGCACTGTAGCTACTCTAATACCTGATTGCCTTCATAGAAAGCACCAAGAAGGATACTAATTTGCTTTGTCATCTTATTCTAAGTTTAAAATTAGAAGTCTCTGCACAGTATGTTCCTTTCCTTTTTTAAAAAAGATTTTCTGGCAAATCATTAAAAGCAAACCCCTGGAATGAAAATCATACACAATCCTCTAAGCTGTTTGATAAGAGGTGCTTTAAGTGCCCTCCTGTCCCCGCCACTACTTTCAAACACAAGGAACAAAAGATGACAATAAAAAAAAGAAAATGCCTACTTACTCCCACTCTTTCCTTCCCTGAATCATCACAGCTCTCATTTCTCCATGAATCCCATCATCGTCAAGGCTGGGCCAAGACATTTCCAGATCTCCTTACAGGACATGAAACATGGCCATATATCCTAAGAACCCACGTAAAACCAAAAGGTAGCACAAACTCCACAGCTAACAATTCAATTTCACGTCCCCAACCATCATCCTTCAGAGGGGTTTGCTTATTATTTACATTAAGAGAGTATTTGGTTGGGGGTGGGGTGTTTTGTGAAGAAAGATTATAATAAGAACTATACTGTAACTCATGGGGAAAGAGAATATCATAATCTAGAAAACAAACAAACAATGGAAGAAATCAGAATTCTGCAAGTAGCTATAATCAAGACAATGAAAACTTCCACCGAATGTAAGAACATCTGCCCATGAGATACACCGAGCAGCTTCAAGACAGGAAGCGGGCGGAGTCTCCAGTCAACACAGAGGCTCTCAAAACCCAGAGAAGCTTTCCAGCCAGCCCCTGTGCCCTTGTTGCTCTCGTCCTTCTCCTTCCTTCCAGTGCTTTGAGAACAAGTGTCAAGAACAGTGTTTGAACGACAGAGCCTTGTATGCAGTAAACAGACCGAGGGTACAGATCCCCACACTGGGGCGCCACCACACGGGTGGCTATTTTGTCACAGAGACCACCTTCGTTAAAGAAAACAAACCTCCTTTCCACCAAGACAGCAGAGGCTCAGGACTGCAGGGCACCATGGTTAGAAAGGCAGGACATGGCAGCAAAATGAACACAACAACGATGAATCTGGGGGAGGTTTAATTCCTGCTCAAAAAGCTTGCCCCACTGACCTAGGAAGGGGTCCATCTTTCTGTTATTCAACAATTTCAGTTCAGAAAGGGATGTTGAGCATATTGTGCTGCCTTCAGATAAGAGAAATCTGAAAAATGAATCTGACTAGAACTTTTTGAAAGAATGACAGGTTCTAAGCAAGGCAGGATGCTGATACCCTGAAATGTTAAGTCCAAGTAAAGATGTGACTATCAAAATCTGTACTTGCTCAAACATATTCCTCCTCCTTAGCTGTGCTATGTATTGGTATCTTGGGAATTCCTGACCTTTAGATATTGTAACAACATAATTAGAAGCAAACCTATTGTATACGAACAGTTCTGAAGTGTAAATGGTATCTTTAGGCTTAACAAAGGCTTGAGAGATATGGAGCACCCAACAATAATTCCAGAAAAAAGAGTAGTATAAACTTAAGAAATGCACTTCAGAGTGATGTTCAGCAAACACCAAGGAGGGCCCTGAACAGTCCGGCAGCTTTGCGTTGTGCTCAGAGAGGTAACATCTGCCGTAGCATCTATCTGTGAGGGGATGGTGTTGAAGGTGGGTGATGGCTGTTGGATACCAGCTGCCAAGAACCAAGGGATTCGGCTGTAGAATCTCTACAGATATAATGTTTATCCACCCAAATTAAGATATGATTAAGAAAAGGAAGGACTTAGTTAAAATTCAGCATGAAAGAGAAAACAACAAATGGAAGACCATTCCCAGAGTTGCACTTGTGTCTTGAAAGAAACCCTGAACTCTTCTGAGGAAGGATACAGCCATGCCTGCATACGTCCACACACATTTCCTTCCTGGGCTCTCTTATCTTCATTTGAGAACGTTGTTGCATCTCGGTTCTGCTGGTGGTAAAAGTGGATCACTCATCATGGGCAACACATTTATCTGTTCTACTGGAGACTACAACCTCAAAGTTCCTGCTGTTAAATCAGAAGCCTGGTTTCAAAGAAATTTCCAAGAGGATTTACCAGGTGGGCAGACAGGACATGCAATACTCTGGGTAATCTGAATTCACTCCTGAGTCAAATCAAACCACCAAAAGCGACATATTCTCAACATTGCTTTCAGTGACTTACACTTTGGAATTATGTCACTGTTGGCACAGTGGTGGAAGGACACTTTCCATTGTAATGACTGAGGAGTTGCGACTTCATAGGTCTGGATGGAGCCAGACACCTGGAATTCTGAACTTCTCACCCATGTGCACCAATGGCTGAAAATCACTGTCCCATTCTTACATACCGATATGGAGGGGTTGTGACTATTGTCACACTGTACTGAGTTCCTCCTAAGAAAAATTTTCCTCATGATTTAATCCTGAGCAAAACGGATCTCACCAACACTGTGAAACTGTGACAGATGGTGCTTAGAACCAAGCCTGCAGCTACTTTAAATGTTTTTTTTTTTAATTGACCCATAATAATGATTCCTATTTGAGGGGTACCATGTGATGCCTGGGATATACACATGCATTGTGTAGCAATCAAATCAGGTTACACATCATGTCCGTTATCCCAAACACGGAGCATTTGTTTGTGGTAAGAACATTTGAAGTCCTCTCTTCTAGTTCTTTGGAAACCCACAACATCCCGGGCAGGACCCAAGGGCGGGACCGTGGGTGTGATGGGGCACACGGACTTCCGAACCAGAGGCCCAGGTTTGAATCCCCAAAACCTAGGCGGTTGCATAACCCATTTCTCATTCATATAATGGGAAAGACACATCGCTCCCCAAGTCGCTGTGCGAGCTGATGAGATGAAAACCGTGGAAGGCCTGGGCCGGCGCCCGCACGAAATAAACACGAGGCCAAGGCTGCGTGCCGGCCTGCCTGCCCAAGCCCGACCCCCGAGCGGCGTGACAGTGCCCCCGC